TATGGTCAACAATATTATCTCATTTGCTTGTGATAGCAAATTTCATCTGGCTTGTGATAACTATGGAACAGGACTGTAAGTTTGAACATGGCAGGCTAGGAAATTGTTAAGATATATTTTTTCCTTATTACCAGATAGAGATTAGGTATGTTATGCGAGTTTAGCGTTACATTTTGCTTGTGAAGGCAAATCCCATCTGGTTTGTGATAACCCTGATGAACGCACAAGACAGTTTAGGTAACCGCCGAAGTACCATTTTTCATTAATAACAAATAGAAATTAGGTTCATATATGCGAGACTAGCGTTACATTTTGTTTGAGATAGCAAATTCCATTTAGTTTGTTATAGCAATGTAGCAATATAGAATTCTTGATTTATAACAGATAAAAATTGGGTACATCTATGTCAGACAAGAGCGGTACGTTTTGCTTGGGATAGCAAATTCTATCTGGTTTGTGATAGCAATGTAGCAATATAACATTTTTTATTTATAGCAGATAAAAATTCGGTACATCTATGTAAGACTAGCGGCACATTTTGCTTGGGATAGCAAATTTCATCTGGTTTGTGATAACTATGGAACAATATTGTAAGGATGCACATGAGAAGTTAGGAAGTAGCCGAAGTACCATTTTTCATTAATGTACGACAGAGATTAGCTACATCTATGCGAGACTAGCGTGATATTTTGCTTGTGATAGCAAGTCCCACCTGGTTTGTGATAACCGTGGAGCAGGTGTGTAATTATGAACATGTCAGGTTAGAAAACCGCCAATGTATATCTTTTTCTTATCACCAGATAAAGAATAGGCTCCCTATGCGTGGTTAGCGTTACATTTTGCCTGTGATAGCAAATTTCATTTGGTTTGGGATAACCTTGGAATATCTTTGTCAGAATACACATGACAGTTTAGGAAACCACTAAAGTACCATTTTTCGATAATAACTGATAGAGATTAGGTTTTATCTATGCGAGACTAACGTTACATTTTGCTTGTGATAGCAAATTCCATATGGTTTGGAATATAAATCGAACAGATCAATAATATGCGCATGACATGTTACTAGACAGATGAAATACAATTTTTCAATAAAAACATATAGAAATTAGGAACATCTATGGTAGACTAGCGTTACATTTTGCTTGTGTTAGCAAATTTCACATAGCTGGTGTTAACCATGGAACAGGACTGTTTGGTTAGGAAACCACCAAAGTTCTAATGTTCAGTAATAACGGAAGCTAAATATCATTATGTCCGATTAACGTTACATTTTGCATAGGTGGCACTCGAACAGCAGGGCGCTCTGGATTGTGTTGTCTTAAAGGCCATGTAGTTTGTTTTAATAGATGACGCATCACCGATGATGCGGCGATCTTAGGATAATTAATGTTCGCGCGTTGTTACAAGGCTGACCTTTCGAGGGCAGATCTTGTTGATGACGATAGATGAATAAATTTTGTTCTATTCCAGCCACCTACGTTGATTTCTGAGGTAACGGAAGCCATAATAAAAATTCTGGCACGCAGGGATGCGTGCTTGGACTGTGTACAGCAACATGTGAGCGGTTCATTAGCTGCAAGTGGCAATACTCTATCATCTAGGTTCAAAGAAGGAAGGGGAGTGCATGCTGGCAAATATTCACATTAAAGCAAAGAACTCAGGAGTACTCTTACACAGGCTTCCAGTAATATCTTGCTCTTCGGTGTAGGTCTGACCAAGTAAGTTAATTCTAAATAGACATCAGATAAACTGAGCAGCAACTGAAGACCAAAAGGCCAGACAACGTACTGACAACATCAACCCACTATTGCAGATGTCCTGAATTGGACTCAAGTGGTCAATTGCCATTCGGATAGCGACTGGTTTAGCACTTTGCCATAGCTGAATCTCATTAGTCTATCTTTGAATTGCTTAGCTGCGGTGCTATCAGTAAAAAAGTTGAGCTAACTAAAAATCAGCACCTATCTAACTTTTTCTTGCCCCCAAGTCTGATGTGTCAACACATTTGATTCCTTACCTCAAGACACTGTGTCTGTTTATCGGGATATAAGCAACTATGTAGAAGTATTTTATAGAAAAAATGAACAATTTATAACCTTATTTGTATATGCAGCTAAAAACCACAAATGAAAAGATTCGTTTTTTAAGAAAAAATTCAATATCTCAAAAACGGTGACTCTTTTATATAGGTAAGCTTTTGTTATTTGGGAGGTCAGTGCAAAGCCTACCTTCTCCTTTAGCTTGTCGTGGTACTTATTGGAGACCCTGTATATATACATACTAGCTAACCCGACAGACGTTGTTCTGTCTTAACTATGAGCTGGGATGAATAATGAATAATAAAAGGGTAAATATAAGGAATATATGTAATTGTATAGCGAAGTGTTTGTAGCACTGTAGAATATCTTCTAGCTATTTTATACTACAATGTGTAGGTTGGTTCTTGTTGGCGACTTCGTGTGTCATTTTTCCCTCTTCATCTTCGTTTTCTCAGGTTACACCCATATCCTGATGTATGGGCGTGTGTATCTACTTTTGGTTGCATGTGTGCATTCATTCCGGACCTGATGAAACCAACAAGCAGAAATACGTATTGCTCGGGTTACCTATCCTATTTTCTGCTCGAATCTACTTTTCTCCTTTTTTACGGATTTTGCCCATTATTTTCCTATTTGTTGTTATATACCTTTCTCCGCATGACAATTTTCTCTCTCTTTCTCTCTCTCTCTCTCTATATATAAATGCTACAGTGAAGCATAAGAACTACTGGAGAGTAGATCAACTGTACCGCGGCGATGACTAGTAATTATGTGGGATAATGAAAGTGAGTATCTCGATAGATCATTGCGGTTGGACACCTCATTAGTCTAACCGTATTAGACGAAAATACACCTGGTTGGTGAAATAATTGTAAAGTCTGGTTTTATTGATGAAAGTTGTTGAAATGGGTACACCAATTTTTCTTCGAAAACCTTTTATTTGTCAACAAAGAATGAGAAAACCGGTTTTTTGGAATTCAATTGAGAGTGTTGGCAAGAGCGAAAAAACTCTTTAAATAGGATTTTTAGGTATTTATGAGACCTACAGTAAAATTTTACCACAAACAGCAAAACAGTTATGGCCGATAACCGTTTCAAAATGCAGGTTTTGGCCCTTGTTGCTAATATGACGATAATTACACGCAGATACTTAAAATTCTTCAAATCCGTAGGCTTCACACATTTAAAAAGCATTCAATAAAATTGAAGTCGAATGCTTAAGTAGCTTTTGAGAATTTCTAATTGTTCATCCCAAAACACCTGTCTTCCGGCCACCACTACTAGTTTACTGAGCAATATACAGAGTTCAATCAATGGGCATTTTATACCAAAATATACAAACCATTCCCGATGTATCCATAACCTCTTGTTACGAAGAAAACAATTTCTTTTCAAGGTTTCGTCATATTCTTGTGAATAACATACATATTTACAGCTGAAATTTTTACACGGTCACAGAAAGATGAGCCTTCAAGTTTATAAAAAAAATATTCCATACTGAAATGCGCTGAACTGTTTATAAAGTTAGCACGCAAACTGAAGACACAATTATGTCTGAAACTGTCTTAGACTAGTTAGTAGGTAGCATGTGCTAAATGGCTGCATTATTGATGTTTGCATGACTGTCAAATAAGTAGGTTTCGTAATCCAGTTTCTTTGAGAAGAATTATAACTTTTTTCTAAAAGGATTAATATAGTATACGTCTGTTTTCGAAATCTCGTTTGATTAAAACGACTGCGAGTTCAAAATGCTGGAGAAAACAAGAAAAAAGGAGACAAATATCGGCCAATGGTAGCGAACTGAGTGAATTGGGCAAAATGCTCGTTATACATTATTGGAAGATTCAGCATTGTATCTTGTATCTATAGTTTTCGAGAGTACTGTACTTGTTTATAACAGATTTGATATGTCTCAAACATTCGTTCGACATTTTTCAGTGTCAAGTATAGCGGTATAGGAATATAGTGAGCCTAGAGGCGTCGCGTCGTAGCGTGATAAGAACGATTGACGATTGCAGAACCGCGGGACGGAGGTTCGATTCCACGAAGCTTCTTTTTTCTCTATCTTTTTTTTTAAATTGGATAAATAGATGCTTCACCACATTATTTGTACTTTTATTGCGATCAAACAGTCTTTCGCACGCCATAGGCACAGTAAGCTTGCAAACAGGGAGCCCATGGTATACGTACGATAGTTTTAAAGATAAATATGTTAGATGTGTAAATTATTAACCAATAAAGAAAGACATCTGAAATTTTCTTTGTAATAATACCCTCAAGTTTCCTAACGCGGTCAAATTAGGTGCCGCAGAGGGTGCTTATAAAATTTAGTGTGTTAACCCTTAACTCGCGAGCACGGTATCCTGTACCGCTATTCAAAATTCAACCTTCCATAACTGCGGTCAGAATGAACTCATGACCCTGAACCCCCACCTAGCTTCAGTATATTGTATGATGTCGAATTGTTAAAAGCGGCGCTGTAATTAGTATTCTCAAAACCGATTTGCGGAAGTGATACTTTGAAGTCTGGCGGTCCGTCATACCGATAGTCGCGTATAGCGTAGAACTTTTGGATACACGTCCAGTCAAGGAAATATTAGTTTTATTGTATCTTATGTGTTTATGTGTGATTGAGTCGTGGTAAGTTTTTTATCTTATTTTTATTCGTTTACGTGAAAAATGGCTTCGTATCTAAAACCAAAAAACACATTTCAGAAGGTAAAAATAAATAGTAGTGCTTAGGACAAAATATTTTATATGAATCAATATATATTTGTGCGTAAAAAAATAAATTTTCACAGAGTTAAGTATGAGAGCTGTATAATGCGAATATTTGGTATTCTGGAATATGTTATTATTGTATTTATTTTTTTTCCAAATTTGCGTTATTGAAATAACATATTATGTTCGAATCCAGTGCTTTTGTAAATCAATTCCCAAAGTCTGTTTTTATTTCAGATCATGGCATCTGGCTTAGAGCGAGTAAAGTTTGGTTACAAAGACTATGAGCAAAAGCTCAGAAAATGGTTCGATGACTGCAATCTGATGACGAGCAAAAATACTCTTCTGATGTAGAAGATTCCAATGACGAAACATAGCAGGAAGATAAAATTATAGAAGATGACTGTTCTTCCACTTCTGAGCAGGACTATGTTCCTTCAGATCATGAAGAAGAGGACAGTGAATTAGAAATGTCGGTAGACCAAGATTCGAATTCGAGCCGCGATAATGTGCAAAGTGATCATGTTACAGGTGTAGTCAGTTATAAAGGTAAAAACGGTTATATCTGGAAGTCCGAGGAACCCAATAAAGCTGTAAGAACGCCCAAACATAACATTATAATCAAATTGCCCAGTCTAAAACCAGCAGCAAGTCGTTTGGGGAACAATCCTGATGTTGGTGAAATTTGGAACCTTTTATTCGACAACGAGATGCTAAATGAAATCGTATTGCGAACAAATGAAAAATTGGAAATAGTAAGATCTACCCACAAGAACTCTAATACCACAGATTACAAGAATACTAACCTTATTGAAATAAGAGCTTTTATCGGTCTTCTTATGCTAACAGCTATATTCCGGTCGAACCATGAAAATATGCTATCATTATTCTCAAATAAGTGTACAGGTCGTCCCATATTCAGAGCAGTAATGTCTTCCAAAATATTTGAAAAGTTACTCAAATGTATAAGGTTTGATGATGCTTCCACTAGAGTCCAACAGTGTCAGGAGAACTCAGCAGCGGCAATATCCTTTCTATTCAACCGTTACATCGATAATCCACAAAAATGCTTCAATTTGGGTCCAACAACATGCACCGACGTAATATTAATCAGTTTCCGTGGGCGATGCTTTTTATTGTTATCTGCACATTATTTCACCACTAACTTGAGGTAATTACTTTGTAGTGCATTAAACAAGCTTACAATAGCGAAATGTGAATAGAGACATTTTACCGGTAAGTCTCTCTCTCACATAATGTATAATATAAGTAAATGTAATGTGAGAAAGCATTCATTTGTACAAATTTGAAAAAAATTATAGAGAAAAAAGGAGCTACGTGAATTCAAACATCCGTCCTGCGGTACTGCAATCGTCAATCGTTCCCATTACGCTATGACGCGACGCCTCTCGGCTTACTTGATCCTTATACCACTAAAATTGACACTAACAAGCGTCAAGCGACCGTTGGAGCATATCAAATCTGCTATAAACAATTACAGTACTTTTGTAAACTATAAAATATACAATGCTGAATCTTTAAATAATGTATAACGAGCATTTTTCCTAACTTTTAAGACGGTCATTTCGCTACAATTGGTTGATATTTGTCTACTGTTTTTTTCGTTTTCTCGAGTTTATTTTCCAACATTTTGAATTCGCAGTCATTTTAGTCGAAAGAGATTTCGAAAACAGCCGTACACTATATTGATGCATTTAGAAAAAAGTCTAGAGAATCATATTTCTTCGTGCAGTCATTAATAATACAGCCATTTAGCACATGCTACATACTAACTAGTCTGAGACAGTTTGAAGAATAGTTGTGCCTTCATTTTGCCTGCTAACCTTATAAACAGTTAAGTGCTTTTACGTATGGAATATTTTTTTAAACTTTAAGGCTGATCTCTGACCGTGTAAAAATTTCAGCTCTAAATATGTATAAGCAAGAGCATGAAGAAATCGTGAAAAAACAATTGTTTTCCTCGTAAGGAAAGGAGATAGACACATCCGCTTTGTTTTAAAATGTGAATATACGAAATGATTGAATTTGTTTACAAGAAAAAAATGTAACCCTTCGTTTCTCAAAAACTACTCCACCAATCGACTCCAATTTTGTTGTGGTTAGTTAGAAGTATGAAGCCTACAGATTTGAAGAATTTTAAGTAGCTGCGTGATATTTCTACTATTATTCGGATCTTCTTACATGTAGTCTTATTTTGTAGGTTTTATAAATACCTAAAAATCTTAGTTGAAGAGTTTTTTCGTTACTGCCAAACAATTAAAATTGATTTTCAGAAAACATGTTTTCTCATTATTTGTTGACGAATAAAAAGTTTTCCCACAAACATTGATGTACCCATTTTATGCGCCCATATTTAAATACCTCCTTGAACAACTTGGATCATTTAAACCTGACCTTAAAATTATTTCGGGGAAATTTGCTAATATTAGACTATAATTATCTATATAGGATTTCATACTTCTTTTGGATTGCCATGATTCTTTCACTGTTTCAATTTTCACTAGGATAGTTAACTTTCAACAAGAGCATGTCTCAAATTTCTGGATGAGAATACATCAATTCAACATTCTATATTTTGAGTGTACATGCTCTATTCCCTCATAGGAATTTTGTTTGCATGCGTAAATACCCATCCGGTCTGGCAATAATATTATGATAAATTGTAGATAATTCAATGATAAGCCTCTGGCGAGCCATTATCCAAAAAATTGCAATAATTGTAAAGCCGTTCTTTTTGCGCGAACGATAAAACTGGTTAAATGCCTCATAAATTTTCATACTCCCTCCTGACATGATGCGTTTTATGGAATACCTAATCTCCGCTAATGAAATATTGAAATAAATACAGCCCCTAGGGTCAATTTGAATACTTTATAAATTCAATAGCATGTTCTTCGCGTTAATGACGTCATAAATATGGAGATCCTCAGATAAGATTTTGCTTACAGTTGCCGCTTGCTACAACTGAAAGATTCACGATGGCAGTTGATATCGTATATTGTCATGGAGCACAGCATATTTAACAAGATGAGATTAATCTGGGAGAGTTTCACCTCGTGTTTTTACAAATTTTAACGAATGTACCATGTATACAGCTTTAAAAAAAAACAAAGAAAAAATAAAGCTGTGGTACTTCGTAGCTGATCTTGATACTATATAGCCGCTTCAAAAAAGCCCACAATCGGCAAGACATACTTTGATTTAAGAAACGCTGAACAGTGGAAGTAAAAATATATAACTAAGCGTATCTGGAAAAACGTTGGTGAGCCTGCAGAGGAGCATCCAAAGAATTACAGCCCTTAAGGTATATGACACATTTTTGAAATTTTATGTCAGACACTTTAGTCAGTTGAAGAATGTCGACTAACCCTAAGAATAGAAGATAAGTCCATATGATCAAAAAGAAACAAGCGAAAAAGTTCTAAAGCCTACAAAATACAGTACGAGGAGTTCAAATGATCCATCCATAGCAGTATTGATGAAAGAAAATAAGGAACTAAAAAAAAAAACATTGAGCAAAACAGTAAACTACTACCAGAAAAGCAAGGAATACTTAATCAATCAACTCACAAAAGAAAATGAAGAGCTACAGAACCACAACAAGCTTTATGAATAAAATATGATAGGAAGGGGGAGTATAGTAGAAATTATGGGAAAAGGAACAGAAAGACTAGAAAAATTAGAAAACCGACAAACATTTATGCCATATGCAGCAACACAGCAACACCAAAGAAGCTAATCATTAAGCCCAAAGACAAACAGAGCAGCATTGAAACAACATATGAACTAATCAAGTATATTGACTTATCCAAATTACAAATAAAAATAGCAGGAGTGAATAATATCAAAAATGGAGGCATAGAAGTTAGATTACAAGAGAAAGACATGAAAGAACTAAAAAATGAGATGCAAGAACGTCTACCGTCCAATTATGAAATTTTTGAAGAAGAAAGTGTGAAACCTAAAATCAAAATCGTCGGGTGCAAGGCTCAAGAAAAGCCATCAGCAAAAAAAATGGAGGAAAAAATAGTTAAAGAGAACTTCTATATAGGCGGAAACGAAATTAAAGTCACCTACGTTAATTATATTCAATCTAGAAATTGTTACACTATTTTCGCCGAAGTAACAGTGAATTTATTTAACCCTTAGCCGCCGTAGTGCGGTCACTGAGACCGCAGCACATATTTATTTCTCTATATCTTAGCCCCACTCTAATATAATCAGGAAATAACCTCGCTACCTTCAAGTGACCACGTTGTCGGTTTGTCTCTAAAAGTTGAAGGTGGCAGCTTTATTGGTTTACAATAGAAATACGACAAAAGTTACGGAGCGGTCACAGTGACCGGGCTACGTTGTCTATATCTATTAAGATTTTTGTATAGCCAGTGTGATTTCCTGTCAACTGTATGGATTATTTTTGGCAGCACATATCCTAAAGAATCACTCGGAATTATACTACAGGGTTTCCCAATACGGATTATAGGGTTTTGACAGCTTACTGCCGCCATCTTAGTTGTCTATTTTCTGACAGGTGAGTTATTTTGTGTTCAGTGAGGCAGTTTGGAGATCGTCTAAATACTCAAACAAAGTTCGAGAAGTGTTGCCGCTATCAAAGAGCATTTCGTGCTAAATAAGGTCGTCATGGTGCATCGTCTCAGCTGGCTAAACCACGCATAATCCCTGACTTTGTTTGGTATCTAGGCAACCAGACCTGACAGACCTACTGACTTACAAGACTTCAACCAAGAGCAAAGGTCCTACGGACCGGTCTGACAGACAATGACGAATAGAATAGATACCACGCATAATTCAAAAACTGGAAAGTGAATATTCTTTGCACGATAGTAAACCACCAGCCAGAATGCGATCTGGCCGTAGTTACTTGATATTTGTAATAAAAAAAGCAGACCTTCTAACACTGATCAACAGCCAAAAAATATCCTAAATAAAATCAACAAAATATTACTATTTTTAATGTGCTAAAACCGGAATGAAACTTATTTTTTCATTATTAGTTCAAGTTTTAGAGATACGGTAATTATATGTGTTCCTGCTGTGACAGTGTTAATATACTGTAATTCACAAGAATGCACGTGCTACATTTTTATATTCGGCAAGGAAAGATGATGTAATCGGCATGATTGTGTTACGTTATACATACGTGTACATTATATTGTTTTATATTAGCCATTTTTTCCTCAGTTGGCTGACAGCGTTCATGCAAGATGTCTCGAAAGTGTGTAAACAATCCAGATCAGTTTTGTTACGTGTGTGGTGATGTGACTTTTGCGTCTCAGGGACGGTCTATTACTCCACTAATAACAAACGCATATCAGCTTTATTTCGGTTGTAAACTAGGTGATCAAGACAAACAGTGGGCACCCCACATCTGCTGTAATACATGTGCTTCAAGTCTGAGGAGCTGGTTAAATGGCAAAAAACGGTCTATGCGCTTTGCTGTCCCAATGATTTGGAGAGAGCCTACAAATCATATTAATGATTGTTACTTTTGCATGGTACCTTGTGTTGGACAAGCCAGAGGTATGTCCAAGAAAAAAAATCGGTCATTAACTACCCAAACATACCATCTGCGATGAGACCTGTGCCTCACAGTGACGAAAATCCTATTCCAAAACCCCCAGAATCCTACACTTGCGAATCAGAAAACAAATCAGATCATGGCGATCGAGTGATTCGTCAGGAAGAAGATATGCCATCTACGTCAAGAGATCCTGATTTTATACCGAGCACGTCATGCCACCAACCGCACAAAATATCACATTCAGAATTAAATGATCTTGTAAGAGATTTAGAACTTCCAAAATGTAAGGCAGAGTTACTTGGATCAAGACTGCAGCAGTGGAACTTGTTAGAAGACGATGTTTCGGTATGTGTTTTTCGTAAACGCCACAAAGA